ATCCTGTATTTATGTTGTAAAAGATGTAAACATTACACATAGTACCCAGCATATGACATAGTAGATAAATCAATTTAAAGGTCCTACATTTTGCAAACCTACACTTCAGGTCAATACCTACTGTCAATGAGCCCATATTCTATCAGATATAGAAAATGTAGAAATGGTTCAAGACTAAACAGTTGGCTACAGTACAAGCAATGCATTTCTCAACATCGATTTGCCAGAAGTGTTTCTGTTGTCTTGTTGCTCTAGGCTGGCATTTTTAATTATTTCTGGGACAAATGGATCATTGATACACAGAAAATCTGTAGGGCTTCTTGTCAAATTAATAAAATAATAATGAAAGCAGTCATTTCAGACTGCAAACTGTCAAAATACCTGAAAAGATCTATAGTAATCTACATGGTTAAGCAAACTAAAATGCTTTTCTGTGTTATTTTAAATCCTAAGTGCCATGACATAAAATAGATTGTGCAGTGTCCATTGTATACAATGACACCTACTGTGACAAAACCGACTATGTTTAATGACCTTTTTAAATCTTATACCTAGAGTCCATAAAAGCATTGTAATTCAGTTGTAAAACACACTTTAATAATCAAAATGCAGCTGTTAAAATAGCATTGCTCATAATTCTAACTTCAGGCAATTTTTTTGTTTTTAATGCAGAAGAGCAGACCACAGTTTAAAATTCCTATGAGGTCACTATTGGCCATTACAGTGTTTTTTTGCAACTTAATAATAGATGTTTTAAAGTTTAAGTGCAGCCTCAGGCACTCATAAGCATTTATTACAAATCGCTGGTTGCCTCCCTTATGCAGAGAGGAATAACATTTACATACAGTAGCACGGATTAATAAGATAAAAAATTTGAAAAAGTCATCAGTCAGGGAGTGAAACTGGTGCTAATAAAGCCCACTATATTCTTCGGAAATATCAAGCCGTCTGTTCCAATATTTTGCCATTCCCCATGAGGTATACAAATCCAAATCAGATAAGACTCAAGCAATGCCAAAGACATGCTGCTCTGCTCTCCAGTGGCATCCAGCTGAATCTTTTATTTATCTTCAGAGCAATTGTACATTCTAGTATACTAAAGACTGAAATAAACTGAACATCACTCATCTGAAAGTTTCATAAAATGGGGCCCACTTCTTCCTTGTTTGCTAAGCCATGATTAGTGACTAAATGCAGTGCAAAGTATGTACTGTAGTGAGTATATATAATAGCAGATGTGGGACCTTTATAATAAAGGCTAGTTAAAAAGCACCATGTCTTGCTGTAGTTTAACATGATGCTCACATGAAACAGAACACAGAGGAAATCAAATTGCTTAAGCAAAGCCTATCCAAGTAGTCTTATGCTTTTCTGCTCTATATTAGAAAACTAGTTTATAAGCCTGGCTGCCAAAAACGTTAGGCAAGGTAAAGTGCAATCTTTGTAAAATAGCACACATAATGTGGCATTATGATTAAACTGCAAAGGTACTTATTATAACAAATCACTTTGTAAATCATGTAAACCACAGCATAACAAAACTAAATGTAAAATAATTTTTTTGCACCTTGTAATCCCAATAATTTTAAGTCTGACATTAAGAGCATGAAGTCAGGGGAGACTGTTAGTATTTTTTAGTCAAGATAATTCCCAAAGATAAAATACATGTATTTATATGCAAGTATTAGTATTACTACCACACAAACAATATTGTGAACTGGAGAGAAAAAAAAAGAGATTTGGTTTCCTTCTCATTTTTCTTCAAGAAGTCTGCCATATTAACATTGAATAATTACTAAAAATTGTAATACATTGGTGTAATATTACCTTTTGCCAAATTGCATTAATCAAAAAGTGAGCCCAATGCAATCAAGTAATTAAGTACAAAAAAATCCTGCATATTTGCATAGCATATTTTTTCAGGATTGTTTGCTATATAGTCATGTTTTTAACTCATGGGGGCTTTTTTGTTTTCTTTTTGTTGCTATGATTCCATGCAAAGAGGCAAGTAAATGAGAGTAAAATAGTCTATCTGTACTTCTGTCTGGAGAGTGCCTCAGTAATGGACAAGGAATGGCAGGCTACTGTCTGACAGCCACCACGATTACTCAGAGTATGTACACAATAAAATAAATCCTGCTTGACCTCTCTAAGAAACCAGACTATTGTTCACCATGAGAAGTAGTAAAGGGGGTTGCTTAATTACACACAAGCAAGCATTCTAGCACATAGGGCTTATGCTGCAAAAATGAGGAATTTTTTGTTCTAGTGTGTTTCTTCAGAAATGGGAAAAATGTATATGTGATAAAGATCATTCCAGGTGTACATTAAACTAAGTAAATTAGAAAGAGATCTTTTGCATAATGTCATAAAAAACAACCATTAATGCTAATAATCGTGAAAGCACACGCAATTATTATTATAGTCTTTTGTTTCGTAAGTTTATTTTAGAGGTGAGCAAAGGTTTCTTTCCAGATCAGCACCTAAACTTGTAGAATCATAGGGGCCAAAACCAGGATTAATTAGAAATATGCATTTTATTAAAAGAATGAAGACTTTTTTTTGTAGCTGGGTATGTAAAGTGTGGTTTCTTCCACCAGTCTATCCTAGGCTAGCTGTGAATAGTGCCCATTTTGAGATTAGGAGATTAGGTTATTCATCACTTGAGATGCTCCCTGCTGTGCTGCTACTATCAGAGCGCAGCCAAATCAAAACATCTCTGGAAGGCATTTCAGAATAATTGAATGCATCATAATTTCCCTATTAATACATATCTCATATTACAGATTATGCATGAAATGTTCACATTATCTGTTACTTTTTGTTAACGTCTTGCTCCTTGCCAGTAAATTTAATACACAGAGTGAATCAGCATGCCATGATGAAGGGATAGGTTACTGATAGCCATTTTTTCAGGATTCAGTAGAAAATTAAAGTAAATCGATCATTTTATAGCCCCACTGGAATGTCTACAAGGGCATGTTGCTAAGCAAATGGTAATTTAAATGTACTGTGTAATTTTTCTAAGCAATTTACTGAAGGCAGATTTTATTTCTCACTTACTTAATATCAGATGCTCTTTATCTGTTAGTGCATGATGTATCAGTTATAGACAAATTATTAATCTATGTTTTAATCAAATGGAGAATATACAGTAATTTGACAGCTAGTCATATACACATTTGGATGAGTTAATTCACATGAATTATAAGAATATTACTGTTATTAATACCTGAAAAGACACCAAATGATGTATTAAGTTATATATAAAACATGTACCAAGTTCCAAGTTAATCAATATAAATGCTAAAGAAATCGTAATACAGCTGTCTATTATATTTTACAATACCTAGTAATATATGCAATTTGAATCTGATTTCATATTTGCATGAACAAAACTAGAGAACTACTCTCATCGAAGTTATCCAGTAATAGGAGATATAGAGCACATCAGAGTATATCTAGATTTTACCAGTATTTAAAATGAAATTGAAAAATTTAACTTGTGATAGGATAGGAGGAATGCTTTAGGACAATTATCCGCTGCCAGGTGAAATGCAATATCCATTTTCCACATTTGCTACATATATACTTCCTTTCATAAAGAATACTTAACAAACATGTTGGGTCTCATCTTCTATCCCTTACTCAGGCATAATGCCAATTGGCTTCTCTGAGAATGTTGCCTTAAAGGCAGAAGGTTCAGACTCATGATAGTATTTTTATTTTAAGAATGAAAAAACTACTAGACTATTAAAAAAAAAAAGGGAAAAAAGAAAATCTAGCCATACAAAATAATCTCTCCTTTTTTTTTCTAGCTCTAAAATGTATTTGATGACAGGCTTCATTTTTATGAAATACAAAGAAGTCTCCATTTATCCTTCAGGTTTCTTAAAATGAATGTAGGATCCTCCTACTGCTGATGCACAAAATGTATTATTGTCATTAATGAAAAAGTTAATGGGCCATTTTCTTATATATCAATTTACATTTTACAATTTGAGTATACAAATGATATGTACAGCAGAGAGCTGATTATTTTTGCTCAAGGAAATAGTTTTAATGTGTTTTATGGACATCAAATGTTGTGAATAATGATGCATCCACAGAATGCAAATAGGATGACAGTTCTTGTGCTGTGATCAACAGTCCTTGGATAAAAGGTCTTCAGTGACAATAATGTTCTATGGAGGGGCTGAACAGTAACAAATGGGAAACAAGAGGATTCCATGATATTCCAAATATATATCAGGAGATAGGTTTGCGATTATTACTAATATTACCAGTTCACAAGTAGAGTGCAATGAGACTTTACTAGTGTCACATACTCTGGAGGCACATTTATATACAGCTGAATTACATATATGCTGAATTACAGCAAATGAGATAATGAAAGACTTTTGTAGCCCTTTCTCAGGTATGAATTTTTTGATCTAAGCAACAGCTACTTATCCAACATATTGTCCATATGCAGCAAATATTTACTAGTATTAACCTGCAGTTCTATAAGGATATTTTTCTTCAAGATCAAGTTTGTTCATGTTAGAGGTAACACAGGCACAACCCCCCCCCCCAACATCCTTCTATATTGCTTCCACCCTACACTGCCCATCCTAAAGGGTTTCAAGGGCCCATTGTGGAATAGCCATGTAAGGCAACAGTTGCTGAAAGAGTGTGTGCACTATTGCTAGACAAGGTGTCACAAAGAGGACTAACAGTGTCTGTCCAGCTAAAGGATCTTTGCAGTTGACATCTACAGAAAATCTCCACAGAGGGACATCGTTCTGGTCTATTAACTGTGTTGCAGCCTGTCTGTATCAGGGCATGCGCAGTTCAGTAATCTGTAACCCCACAGCCATATCACTTGTGCACTCTTCAGGGTAAAAACAGATGTTGGATTTCTCCTGAGACAAAGGCTTTTATCCTGGTATCCTACAGATATACAAGTTCATTATCCTACTTCAAGTAACTATGAAGTATCCAAGATAACACTTTTTTATCTGGGACAATCATGCCTAATTTGAGTTAACTGCCTTTCAAGCTGTGTGTGTAAATGATTGTCCCTTGCTCATTTTGATGCAAGTCAAAGCTCAGGACAATCAAACCTGGGATAAATCCATTTTTATCCTCAGATGATGCAGAAGTTTTTCTTGGATTTATCCACTAGAGCTCTTCAACCCTACCTATATAACTGGGGTGGAAAAGAGATGGACACATTTCTTAGGAGCAAGATAACCTACAGTCTATTTTATGAGAAGAATTCAGAAAATTGTAAATGCCTAATTCCATGGTGGTGATTACCCTAATGAAGCAATGTACCCTATTGAAACAATACAACATCATACACCTAGCAAGAACTCCAAGTTATTTTCCAAAATATCTCACAAGTTATAGGTCTATAGTTAGTTACTTGTACTGGAAATAAATGCTTCTGCCCTACTAATTCATATTAAAATTCAATGGGCTTTTTTTGCCAAAAATGTCACGATGATTTGAAATGATCCTGTGGCAGCACTGTTCCTGTGACTTAAGAATTCAAGATCTATGTAAAAACCAATGTAAAGCAATCTTAATCCACATTATTAGGAACAAAAGTTTCCCAAAGGATAGTCATTCCCTAAGAACAAAAACAGATGTGGTTCACCTTTTCTATAACTTACATGCAGCTGCTCTGGTAAGTACTGACAATGTCAGCCACAAGAAAAAAAAAGGTAACTAATAGCAGCTGCAAAGAAATAAATGACATTATTTTTAAAAAGTAGAAACCATAATGGGCACTGTAAACATAGCTAAATCAGCATGACAATGCTGTACAGGTTCAAATGTTGCCAAAAGATGTCCATACTCAGCACCCTAAAGGCTACACAATATTGTGCGTAAAAAACAATGCCAGAATATTTCTTCTTTAGTCTCCCTAAGCCACTGGGTGTTGCACCTGAGCACAGTTATAGGGAACAGAAAATATAGGGTCATTCAGTGTTCACTGCCTGTGTGCCAGGATTAAAATCAAGGTGACAACTATAGCTGTATGAGATCTGAAATACAGTACATAAACATGAACAGTGTTTGGAAAGTCTCCAGGATCGCTACAGTATATGTATGCTCATAACCAAACTTTAAACAGTTTCTCCCCTTTCTGAAATACAAAGGTAAGACATGAAGAGGCTGCTCAGCTTTCTTTAGATATTCACGAGCCACATTCACTACTCTCTTACAATGATTCTACCCTGGTATGGTTTCTACAGTAAATTAAATATAGTGATCACCATTAAAGAGACAATGCTTTTCAACAGGTAGCATACATTTTTCACAGGTTTCTTTTTCTCATTAGGTGACTGATCATCAATCAGTCACTTTAACTTCACAATTGCACTATTCCATCAAGGTCAGTGAAGTCAAAAGCAGCACAAAAACTTTAGTAATGCAGAGAGAAATGAGGCAAACTACAGAAGGAAAAAAAAACTTTGTTATTTTGGATACAAAAAAATCTCTTGATAAACGTCACATTTTTATTATTAATCACTGCACTAAACCTCTCTTGTATTTTAATATTTTCACATGCAAAGTTATAGTTACATAAATGCCAATTTATTGTCATGATCATACCCCCAAATAACTACTTCTAATTGCTTTTGGACCTTCTTCTAAAAACCAAAGCTACTGGTCAGAGTCCAGAGGTCAGTCTCCACAGAGATAGCTCAACTTACAGAGACCACTGCAACAGGGATAAGAGCAGCAGGCTCTTCTGAGTCCAAGAAGATGTTCATTGTAACATATTTGCACTGATCCAAGTCTCTAGTCTGAAGGGCAGAGACTATTCATAAATTAGAATAACTCGGATGGAAACATAACCCAAAGATTTCGCACCACTTACCAAGATTTTATAAGAGCTGTTCTGCACACAGGAGTAATACAATGCAAGGAGTGGAAAGACAACAAAGCATTCATTTTACAGAGAAGGGGAAAATGCACAGAATAGAAAGGCAGAAACCACACACAAAAACAGCCCAAATTAATCAACCAAACAGATATTTCTTCTCAATATATATTTTTTCAATACTTGAGTAATATTAGTGCAGTAGTAAATTTATCCTGAAAAATAAAAGAAATATCTTACGGCACATTAACTACCTTTGTAAACACAGGGAACCTCCTCAAGCAAACACACTGGAAATTTGTAATCAGGAAAATTAATTATACTAAACTTTTACTAAAGTGCAACTTTTCTGAATGATTATAGTTCTCTTCTATTCTCTTCTCTTATCATACTGTATTCTTTCCCCTGCCATATGCAGAAAATAGAGAAAGGTGAAGAAATAAAATGTTTAAAAAGTAAAAATTGCTTTCTTCAAATCACAAGGGGTTTCTGGCTTTAATTTAAAAGTTATCACTGCTGACAGACCAAATTCTGTTCCTAAAAGCAAAAACACAGGGCTCACTGATTTAAAATGGAAAGTGTACGTAGTCTTTTAAGAAAGAATTTAACCATCCCTATGTTTGTTTGTGTATATGTGTGCTTTAACTTAAGTCAATGGGTTTTAAGAATGTGTTTAACTTTGAGCATGTGGTTAAGTGTTTTGCTGAATAGGGATAAACATTAGTGTGTACTTAGAGTGAGTGCCAAAATGTTTTTTCTGAATACGGGTCAAAGTTAGATTTCCAAATATGCAAGCAGCATACATTTGTTTTCAGTTAGCTTTTTGGTTTTTTATTGCCCACTGCTACTTCCTAACCTGTCACACTGTGTTCCATAATACAGAAATGAATGCTGTTTGTAGGTCTACACAGTAGTAAAAAAAGTTTCAGCATGTATAAACAGAAGCTTTTCTGCAAGGACTACCACACGATTCTTTTTGAAGAAGGAAGGCAACACTTTCTCTGTGATTTTATTTTACTTAATAAACCAATGTACTCAGCTGTAAAACCAATGCAAGGCAGAAAGTTGGGCTTGAAATAAATGTGCCAGGTGAAGAGCAGAGCGCCTTTATTAAAAAAAAGTAATGCATCAACATGAGAATGAAGAGTCTTGTAAATGTCTCAATTTGATTGGCCTCTTTATTCTAGAGTTGAATATTAAGAACAAACAACTGGATTTGATGGCATGCCTGCATGCATTATATAAAATCTCAGTGGTAACTAACTGCCTTGCCAATGTTGTGACAAGTTAATGACAGGGCCAAAGGCTGCTGCAGGTCAATGTATTCTAAGATTCAGGATTAGAGTCCTGGGGTGGAATCCTGGTCCCATTAAAGACTGCTGGTGTTTTCTCATTGCCTTTACTGGAGCTAGGATTTAATGCTGGTTTCTTCATGCCTTGCTATATCTTGAATCCATTTTATCCTAGAGTCTTGCAAAACAAGTGTGTTGGCTGTCAGTAGCTTACTAATTACTTAATTTTATTTCTTTCTTTGGGTATTGCTTTCAGATTTTACTTATTTGATCAATCATTTACTTTATTTTTACAGATATAAAAATGATGTGCCGTGTGGCTAAATGACTTGTCAAGAATTGAGCATAATCCTGAATTCTGACACTGACTTGCTCTGCCAATTTGGATTTGTCACTTCATTTCTCTGAGCCTCTCCTTGCCCATCTGTAATGTCATTTCCAAACTTTATTTAGAAGGCAAAGTGCTAATGTAAGTGCAAAGTGTTACTAATCCTCTGTAGAGCAGATGCTGGGATACAACTCAAGATTTTCTAGCTCCTGGTATTATGCTTAACTGTAGATCTTCACAGCATCTGATGTAGTAGGCTCCCTGAATTAGTCTATAAGGTGCCACTCTGCCCTGCCTCTGTAGATCCTGTGACCATTTTTAACACCAGCGTGAATTTTTAAATGAGTTGCTTTTGGCAGCATTGGCTGTTGCACGTGTTCGTTTAATTTTTCGTCTGCCTAATTTGCTTAATGGTTTGTGTGAGGGTTTTTTTCCTGTTGAAAAGCCATTTAGCAAAAAACACTTTGAAGAATTTTGTAAAACTGCATCCTTTAACTGGAACCTCCTTGAAATAAGAACAGGTTATTCTTCATGGCGAAAACAAATTGTTAAAAATATTTTGGCCAGTTCTCCTCATTAATATTCAGCACAACTGCCACAACGTAGAAGAGGAACACATAGGGAAAGACAAATAGGGAAATTCAAAGCAATGGGAATTAAAGGATGCTATTTTAATTGGGCTGGGAGAAACAAAGAAAGAGGATGGCAGAGATGATGTGGCCGACAGCTCTTTGTTTATGAGAACCATCATCCCCTCCTGCCTCAGGTGAAAGTATAGTGCAACTTCCTCAAAGATTTTCAGAATTCCAGCTAGCATGCAGAAAACCACTGATGAGCTACTTTAAGCCACTTTCAAATAAGGGTATATGCATGGGCAGAGGCATTATCATCTGCTCCATATAGTGTAGTTACCTTTGTATGATACAATGCATCTTCACTGGGCTGTCAACTTTCTCTCTGTTATGTTTTCCTACTAATCTTCTAAGTAAACAAATTAACATGTGGTATGAACTACAGATGGATTAGTAGGGACACCTGTAGTGCTGTATATATCTGGAACACATGTGCAATTACACATGTAATTGCCAGCTAGCCAGAAGATTTTTGGAAGGTTATTTGACAGTAGGAAACAGGACTGTCAAGTGGTTTTGCTACTACCGTCTTTTATAAAAGGCTCAGTGCTTGAGCAGGGACCAGAATTTTGATTAATCCACATGCCAAAGTCATTTTTAGATTCTGGTCTCAAATGATGCAGATAGTTTGCAATGAACACAGTTACATTCCTTCACCTCCTTCAGAAAGTTTTTGAACTCACCCTTGGAAGCAGAAAAAGAAAGGGAGAGTGACCCATTAATCCTCTTAACAATATTACTGATGTTTTCAGTGACACTGCATAGTTACTGCTTCCAGCTGTAAACACAGGTGTGCCAATGGTTAATTTGAGGTTTGTCACAGCTTATTAAATAATAGATAACACTATTTACATCTAGAATGTTCAAATGAAAGTAGTTTCCAACAGTGGTTGATTTTGCAGGCTTTCATTATTCTTTGAAATGGACAATGAACATGACATACTGCACAGCATTTTCCTTTCCTTTTTTTCCTCTC